TTTTTTTTTTTTTTTTTTTCACAAATTTGGTATTAAAGCCCATGTGAAACTATGGTCAGACCAAACAATGTTATCCATGCTCTTTGAAAGCTTCACCCAAGACACTAAAAAAGGAAGAAGAAGGGAAAAGTATGTACATCCTGTTCCTTCTCCCAGTCTCATATGTCAGACAGGACACACTCCATTTCCCAGGGGGAGTCACTGCAGGAGTGTCACCCTAACAGAGCTCTGTCTTCAGGAAGGGAGAAGAAAGCAGGAGAGAAACACCTACCATGAACTTCTACAACAAACAACACAAAGCAAAACAGAAAAACAGTAAAGCTACAGTTTTGCTCAGTGGAAGAGCACATGCGCAGCATGAACAAATTCCAGGGTTTAATCCTCAGCACTGAAAAAAAATACATCAAATACTTTTGACTAAGAAAAATTAAAGATCAAGGAAATGAAATAATTCACCAAATGTCACCCACTACTGAGAGGCAGAGCTAAAAATTTAGATAATGTTCTCTGGCTTCAAATTCTTTTTTTTTAAATCAGGCTGAGCATATCAACATTTATTGAGATACTGAAAAAAAATCCATTTTGTTAAGAAATTCCTGGCAAGAACTGACGTGACAATATGTATTCTGCTGATACAGTAAGAAAATGTCAATGTGTCGCTGACTTCACACTCTAAACTTTGCTTGATATGTTATATAAATATCCAGACATTACAGGTTGTCTGTTAACAGACACAGACCAACTACCACAAACCGAGCTAAGCCAAAAACCTTGATGTTCGAGTCTGCTTTTTCTAATACGTCCTGTGATTGATAAAGCAGGTGGCTAGGTCAATGCCTGATGACATACAGGTTCAGGATTCACATCAGAGAAATTCACTGGCCCGTTTTGGAAGGGGCACAGGCAGCTGTAGCACTGTTTTACTTATCAGCTTGTGTCCTTATTTTCCCTCACCATATGGATATGACTCTGCTGCCTGATTTAGGAACCACTCCTGGCTTGTGGGCCACCCGGTGAACAACATAAGCAGTGTTTTACATTTTTCAGGTTTAATTTCAGTGAGGAGTATTGTATATTTAAAGTAAGAAAACACAGATCTTAAGAATGCACACATCTGGCATCTTTGCGATGTTAAAGACCTTCCCAATAACCATTCTAATCTCCAGATCACCTCCCGCAGGCTGCACACACGTGATGGAGCCTTTTTGTTAGCCACTGGCTGCACCATTCCTCTCTACCTGCCTTTGGCCAGGTTGGTCCTTAACCAAGGGAAGCAGTGCGGCTGCCATTCTCTTAATATTTTGGATCTGAGCTCTGATCAGTGACTTTTCATTGCCCTTTGGAGGCTTCAGATTCTTTGTATCTTGCCTCTATGCCAACCTGCCCCATGATACTAACAGTGGCAGGGAGACCACACGGGCAAAGTCAGGAGATGCAATAGAGAAAACATATTTCTTCTTAAAGAGAGTAGCAGCTTCTGGGCTTGAATTTGAAGGAGAAGCCATTGAAAGGGTTTCATAAAGGAGCAGGCTCTTTGTAGGAGTGAACAGGTCCAGGAGAACGACCTGGTGAGGCAAATGTTCCTGTGAGGAGGCCATAGCACAAATGGAGCACCCAGCCCCAGGAGGGCAGCAGAGCCCCAAGAATGGTCCTTTCCAACGTGCTGACTCTAGGAAGCACACACAGGGAAGCCACACGGCTAGTCCAAGCTCTGGGACAACATCAAACAATTCTGACAACCTAGAAGCTAGAAGCCACATCATCTTTCCAGTTCAGAGCCAGCTTCTTATAACCACAGCTACACAAGCAGGAGTATACACTGTCCTAGGGCAACTGATGTTTCATATAATATTAACTTCTCTTCCTTCCGTTTCCTTGAAGCTTCTCATTCTCAACAGTAGAGCTTGAAATGAAAGCTTGTATTTTGTCTCCCCATCAGGAGATCTGGTGTGCAGTCAGTGTTAGTGAGGAATAAAATAAGTAATTAAGTAACTGACCAGAGATTCGAAAGGCCTTTGCTGGGCAAGGAAAGGAGAAATGCTCTTGAACCCTGGGTCATGGAATCACAAAAAACCTAAATGCTTCTTAGGGGAAATAATTCTCCAGTATGTCAATCAATACATCTGAAGAGATCTTCATCGGTCATGTAAGTCCTACATCTGCCATCTCACCTTGTATAACAGGGTACCTGAACAGAACCCAAACTAGACTGCTACTTAATACATGTCCACACAGAAGGATTGAGGTTGTTTTTTGGTAAAAAGGAAAAAGGAGCACTTTTGATATTGGATTTGAGACTCTGGCAGGGTGGGGAGCCATATGGAAACATGTAGATATGCTATCCATACCCTCCCTCATCCTTTCCCATGGGCCTGATGAAGGGGACTTGGGTCTCCTACCTATGGAGAAAGAACTCAGGGAGGAGGCCGAAGGGACTGTGCTCCTGTGAGAGTCTGGCTCTGATCACACAAGGAGCATGCAGCACCGTTATCGACAGCAAACCTCCAATCAGCCCTGCTCAGACAAGGGCTTGACTGGAGTACTCTGAGGACCGAGCTGGTTCAACACCACATTACAAGGAACCGTGGCACCTTGAAGGGCAGCATCCTGTGGAGGCAGTGACGAAGAGGCCTGAGAATACCCAGGAATAGCGGGAAGAAAGAGAGGGTACGATGTGCAGGTGAGTTTAGAGTACAGGTAATCCTGGCACGAATAACATAACTTCACACACACACACCCGAGGCTGTGACATCTCGGTCTTGATTTGTGTTTCTGACTTGAATCGGTAGGTCCCTTGTCAGCCCCTTGGTGTCTCATTGACCAGAAGCAGCATCTCCTCACTCTCCCAGACATTTCCCATAAAGGATGTTATTAATAAGTGACCTACAGTTTTATCACCAAGAGAATCTAAAGAACCCCAGATTTACTCTCTCTTCCTTTGAGTTTTTTTTTTTTTTTTTTTTTTTTTTTTT